GTGGGTTGAACACACGGTGGGTTGAACACATGGTAGGTTTTACACACTGTGGGTTGAACATACGGTGGGTTGAACACACGGTGGGTTGAACACACGGTAGGTTTAACACACGGTGGGTTCAACACACGGTGGGTTGAACAAACGGTGGGTTGAACACACGGTAGGTTTACCACATGATGGGTTGAACACACGGTGGGTTGAACACACGGTGGGTTTAGCATACGGTGGGTTTAACACACGGTGGGTTTAACAGACGGCGGGTTTAACACACCGTGGGTTTAACACACGGTGGGTTTAACACACGGTGGGTTGAACACACGGTGGGTTGAACACACGGTGGGTTGAACACACGGTGGGTTGAACACACGGTAGGTTTACCACACGGTGCGTTGAACACACGGTGGGTTGAACACACGGTGGGTTGAACACACGGTAGGTTTAACATACGGTGGGTTTGAACACATGGTGGGTTGAACACACGGTGGGTTGAACACACGATGGGTTGAACACACGGTGGGTTTAATACACGGTGGGTTGAACACACGTTGGGTTGAACACACGGTGGGTTGAACACACGGTGGGTTTAACACATGGTAGGTTTAACACACGGTGGGTTGAACACATGGTAGGTTTAACACACGGTGGGTTGAACACACGGTGGGTTGAACACACCGTGGGTTGAACATACGGTGGGTTGAACACACGGTGGGTTGAACATACGGTGGGTTGAACACACGGTGGGTTGAACACACCGTGGGTTGAACACACGGTGGGTTGAACACACGGTGGGTTGAACACACGGTAGATTTAACACACAGTGGGTTGAACACACGGTGGGTTGAACACATGGTGTGCTGAACACACCGTGGGTTGAACACACGTCAGGTTTTACACACGGTTGGTTGAACACACGGTGGGTTGAACACACAGTGGGTTGAACACACGGTATGTTAAACACACGGTGGGTTGAACACACGGTGGGTTGAACACACGGTGGGTTGAACACACGGTGGGTTGAACACACGGTATGTTAAACACACGGAGGGTTGAACACACGGTGGGTTGAACACACGGTGGGTTGAACACACGGTGGGTTGAACACACGGTATGTTAAACACACGGTGGGTTGAACACACGATGGGATGAACACACGGTGTGTTGAACACACGGTTGGTTGAATACACAGTGGGTTTAACACACGGTGGGTTGAACACACGGTGGGTTGAACACACGGTGGGTTGAACACACGGTGGGTTGAACACACGGTGGGTTGAACACACGGTGGGTTGAACACACGGTGGGTTTAACACACGGTGGGTTTAACACACGGTGGGTTTACCACTCGGTGGGTTGAACACACGGTGGGTTTAACACACGGTGGGTTGAACACACGGTGGGTCTAACACACAGTGGGTTTAACACACGGTGGGTTTAACACACGGCGGGTTTAACACACGGTGGGTTTAACACACGGTGGGTTTAACACACGGTGGGTTGAACACACGGTGGGTTGAACACGCGGTGGGTTGAACACACGGTGGGTTGAACACACGGTAGGTTTAACACACGGTGGGTTGAACACATGGTGGGTTGAACACACAGTGGGTTGAACACACGGTGGGTTGAACACACGGTGGGTTTAATACACGGTGGGTTGAACACACGTTGGGTTGAACACACGGTGGGTTGAACACACGGTGGGTTTAACACATGGTAGGTTTAACACACGGTGGGTTGAACACATGGTAGGTTTAACACACGGTGGGTTGAACACACCGTGGGTTGAACACACCGTGGGTTGAACATACGGTGGGTTGAACACACGGTGGGTTGAACACACGGTCGGTTGAACACACGGTGGGTTGAACACACGGTGGGTTGAAACACACGGTAGGTTTAACACACGGTGGGTTGAACACATGGTGTGTTGAACACACGGTGGGTTGAACACACGGTGGGTTGAACACACGGTGGGTTGAACACATGGTAGGTTTAACACACTGTGGGTTGAACATACGGTGGGTTGAACACACGGTGGGTTGAACACACGGTAGGTTTAACACACGGTGGGTTGAACACACGGTGGGTTGAACAAACGGTGGGTTGAACACACGGTCGGTTTAACACACGGTGGGTTGAACATACGGTGGGTTGAACACACGGTGGGTTGAACACACGGTGGGTTGAACACATGGTAGGTTTAACACACGGTGGGTTGAACACACAGTGGGTTGAACACTCGGTGGGTTGAACACACGGTAGGTTTACCACATGGTAGGTTGAACACACGGTGGATTGAACACACGGTGGGTTTAACATACGGTGGGTTTAACACACGGTGGGTTTAACACACGGCGGGTTTAACACACCGTGGGTTTAACACACGGTGGGTTTAACACACGGCGGGTTGAACACACGGTGGGTTGAACACACGGTGGGTTGAACACATGGTGGGTTGAACACACGGTAGGTTTACCACACAGTGGGTTGAACACACGGTGGGTTGAAAACACGGTGGGTTGAACACACGGTGGGTTTAACACACCGTGGGTTGAACACACGGTGGGTTGAACACACGGTGGGTTTAACACACGGTGGGTTGAACACACGGTGGGTTGAACACACGGTGGGTTGAACACACGGTGGGTTGAACACACGGTGGGTTTAATACACGGTGGGTTGAACATACGGTGGGTTGAACACACGGTGGGTTGAACACACAGTGGGTTTAACACATGGTAGGTTTAACACACGGTGGGTTGAACACACGGTAGGTTCAACACACGGTGGGTTGAACACACGGTGGGTTGAACACACCGTGGGTTGAACATAGAGTGGGTTGAACACACGGTGGGTTGAACACACGGTGGGTTGAACACACGGTGGGTTGAACACACGGTGGGTTGAACACACGGTAGGTTTAACACACGGTGGGTTGAACACACGGTGGGTTGAACACACGGTGGGTTGAACACACGGTGTGTTTAACACACGGTGGGTTGAACACACGGTGGGTTTAACACACGGTGGGTTGAACACACGGTGGGTTGAACACACGGTGGGTTGAACACACGGTGGGTTGAACACATGGTAGGTTTTACACACTGTGGGTTGAACATACGGTGGGTTGAACACACGGTGGGTTGAACACACGGTAGGTTTAACACACGGTCGGTTCAACACACGGTGGGTTGAACAAACGGTGGGTTGAACACACAGTCGGTTTAACACACCGTGGGTTGAACACACAGTGGGTTGAACACACGGTGGGTTGAACACACGGTGGGTTGAACACATGGTAGGTTTAACACACGGTGGGTTGAACACACAGTGGGTTGAACACACGGTGGGTTGAACACACGGTAGGTTTACCACATGATGGGTTGAACACACGGTGGGTTGAACACACGGTGGGTTTAGCATACGGTGGGTTTAACACACGGTGGGTTTAACAGACGGCGGGTTTAACACACCGTGGGTTTAACACACGGTGGGTTTAACACACGGTGGGTTAAACACACGGTGGGTTGAACACACGGTGGGTTGAACACACGGTGGGTTGAACACACGGTAGGTTTACCACACGGTGGGTTGAACACACGGTGGGTTGAACACACGGTGGGTTGAACACACGGTAGGTTTAACATACGGTGGGTTGAACACATGGTGGGTTGAACACACGGTGGGTTGAACACACGATGGGTTGAACACACGGTGGGTTTAATACACGGTGGGTTGAACACACGTTGGGTTGAACACACGGTGGGTTGAATACACGGTGGGTTTAACACATGGTAGGTTTAACACACGGTGGGTTGAACACATGGTAGGTTTAACACACGGTGGGTTGAACACACGGTGGGTTGAACACACCGTGGGTTGAACATACGGTGGGTTGAACACACGGTGGGTTGAACACACGGTGGGTTGAACACACGGTGGGTTGAACACACGGTGGGTTGAACACACGGTAGGTTTAACACATGGTGGGTTGAACACATGGTGTGTTGAACACACGGTGGGTTGAACACACGGTGGGTTTAACACACGGTGGGTTGAACACACGGTGGGTTGAACACACGGTGGGTTGAACACACGGTGGGTTGAACACATGGTAGGTTTAACACTCTGTGGGTTGAACATACGGTGGGTTGAAAACACGGTGGTTTGAACACACGGTAGGTTTAACACACGGTGGGTTGAACACACGGTGGGTTGAACAAACGGTGGGTTGAACACACGGTCGGTTTAACACACGGTGGGTTGAACACACGGTGGGTTGAACACACGGTGGGTTGAACACATGGTGGGTTGAACACATGGTAGGTTTAACACACGGTGGGTTGAACACACAGTGGGTTGAACACACGGTGGGTTGAACACACGGTAGGTTTACCACATGGTAGGTTGAACACACGGTGGGTTGAACACACGGTGGGTTTAACATACGGTGGGTTTAACACACGGTGGGTTTAACACACGGCGGGTTTAACACACCGTGGGTTTAACACATGGTGGGTTTAACACACGGCGGGTTGAACACACGGTGGGTTGAACACACGGTGGGTTGAACACATGGTGGGTTGAACACACGGTAGGTTTACCACACAGTGGGTTGAACACACGGTGGGTTGAAAACACGGTGGGTTGAACACACGGTGGGTTTTGTGAAATGAGTGAGGAGGAATGAAATGACTAAGGAAAGATTGGGTACAAATACAACCCTAGAAACCCTGTACCCCATATGTGCTACCCCACTATAGCCTACAGCAACTATGTCATATAAATCTGACACACCCCCATAGGCAAAGTGGGGGAGAACAAGGGGTCACAAGACCAGTCAAGCAAAGCAAAGCAAGCTCAGGGTGGATCACAAAGTCACCACACAGTCCGAGCACAAGAGTAGGGCCAGAGGCAAGTTCACATGCAGGAGTACAGACATATATATAAAACTAGACAAACAAGAGCAGGCATATATATATGTCACAGTACAAGTGAAGTCAAGAGGAGAGCAAGTGAGGCAAGACAGGCACAAGACCCAGCTGGGTGCAAAAGCGCTGATGGTCACAAGGAGCGAGTGCCTTGGTGAACACATCAGCAGTGTTGGCCTCAGAGGCCACGTACGCAAGTCGCAACTGACCACGCTGCTGCAGCTCACGAGCAAGGAAGTAGCGGAGAGCAATGTGTTTCGTTCTGTGCTCCAAGCGCTGCTCTCGACACAAGGCCAGCATAGCCTTGTTGTCTACGTACAGCACTGGAGGAGAACGAGGCGGCTCTCCAAGGTCAGTCAGCAGGTAGGTGAGCCAGCGAAGCTCCTGTGCAGCCATGGCCCCGGCGTAGATCTCAGCCTCACAACTGGAGCCGAGAACCGAAGACGAGCGAGTAGACCGCCACGAGACAGAGCCGGAACCAAGGCTGAAGGTGTAACCCTGTGACGACCGCTGCGTAGCCTGGTCGTCAGCCCAAGAAGCGTCCGCGTGGCCGGTAAGGACCACTGGACTCCGCCCTCCAAGCACTAGCCCCATGCCCGACGTACTGCACAGGTAGCGCAATACCCTCTTCGCTGCAGCCATGTGCTCCGGTCTGTGTCTCCCAGGAGCAACATAGCGTGCAAGAATGCTCAGAGGGTATGCAAGGTCAGGTCGTGTGCAGGTCATCAGGTACATGAGGCAGCCAACAAGCTCTGCATACGGACCACTCGACTCTACGGACTCATCCGAAGGCAGAGCTGAGAGTGAGTGGCGAGTAGGCAGAGGAGTGGCCTGAGGCGAGGAGTACGTGAAGCCGAAGCGCTGAAGGACCTGCTGCACCATGTGTGACTGAGTCAAGGTAATGGTGCGGCGTGCTCTGTCCCGAGTGATCTGCAAGCCAAGGTAGCTGCGCAGTTCACCCAGGTCTGTGCACGTGTGTCTCTTCAGCAGCTCGGACTTCACGTAGGCGAGTCCAGCAGTGTCCGCTGTGGCAAAGACCAAGTCGTCGACGTACACGAGGATGTAGAACGGTGGCAGGGAAGTGTCGGTGCGAAGAAACAGCGACGGGTCAGCAGTAGAAGGAGCAAACCCAAGAGCCGCAAGCGTAGTCCTCAGTGTGTCGTGCCACTCACGCGGTGCCTGGCGGAGACCGTAGACTGGCCGTCGGAGGCTCCACTGGGTGCCAGGAGGGAAAGTCCCAGTGAAGCCAGGTGGACGGCGAAGCCAGATCTCCTCGTGCAGGCTACCCTGCAAGAACGCAGTGCTGAAGTCGAGAGAGTGAAGCTCGTAGTCGCGCTGAGCGGCTATGTGCAGCAGCACCCGAAGAGTAGTCATCTTCGGGGTGGGAGAGAAGGTCTGAAAGTAGTCAACTCCCTGCCGCTGACTGAAGCCACGAGCAACGTACCGTGCCTTGAAGACAGGTGGAGAGCCCGGCGGCCGCTTCACCCTGAAGATCCACATGCCACTGACGATGTTCGCCCCAGGAGGGGGAACCGCGTCAACGTAGGTGCCTGTGGACTTCCAGGAAGCCATCTCTGCATCCATAGCTGCCTGCCACTGAGAGGAGTAGGGACCCTCTACGGCCTCCGCGTAAGAACGCGGAGTCGGGATGTCTAGTGCATCCGGGTCTCCCTCAGGGGCAAGCAGTACAGACGCGAGATGAGGTGAAGCAGCCGCTAGACACTGTAACTCCTCCTGCCTGTCCTCTAGGACGTCCGTGCTAAGAGCACACTCACCCCCGACGGACGGAGGACAGACAGACGCAGACTCAGCAACAAGACTAGCAGCGTAGTCGAGACGACAGCGAGCAGCAAAGTCGACGAGCTCAGCGACTAGAGCAGACGCAGCAGTGGACTCAAAAGAGGGGTCAGTGACGACAGTAGCAAGCAGACGCGTGACAGTAGGACTGGCAGCACGAAGAGAGTCCGACTCAGGGTCGGCAAGCGCAGGAAGAGAGGACTCACGAGGAGAAGGCAAAGGGGCACGCAGAGGAGCAGTGGACGGACGCAAAGACATCCGGTGCGTGCCAGGGACAGGAGGAGGACGCTGACGCGAACTGCGACCACTAGCGCGAGCAGCACGAACAGGCGACGCGGGACGAGACGCAGGCTCACGACGCTCAGCAAGACCTCCAGTAGGACCAATGTAAGGAGAGGGAGCAGGCAGTGGAGAGGAAGGCTCCAGCAGGGACTGCGACTGGACAGGTGGTGGACCCCCTACCGGAGGAGAAAGACCAAGAACCTGCTGCAAGAGCGGAACGAAGTACGGCCGAGGCCGCGCGGCAGCTCCAGACGCAGCAGGGTCTGCACCAGCACCCTCAGCGACAGCACCAGCGCCACCCACACCTCCAGTGGCAGGACCAACAGCAGTAGGCTCAGCACCAGCGCCCTCAGCAGCTCCAGCTCCAGGAGGACCCGCAGGTCCAGCAGCCCCGGGACCGGCAGCACCCGCACCCACGACGGTCGAAGAAGCTCCAGCTCCAGCTCCAGCAGCACCTCCAGACTCAGCAGCACGTCTCCAGCGGCGAGCGAACCACTCGCGCAGCTCCTGTGGAGAGAGGGGCTCCCGGCGAGACGCAGCAGCAGGAGAAACCCCAGGCGCAGCAGCTCCAGACGCAGCACCCCCAGGCTCAGCAGCTCCCAGCTCAGCACCTCCAGGCTCAGTAGCTCCCGACCCAGCACCCCCAGACCCCGCACCCCCAGGCACAGCACCCCCCGGCTCAGCACCCTCAGGCTCCGCACCCTCCGCAGTAGCACCCTCAGGCCCAGCACCCCCAGCAGTAGCACCCCCAGGCTCAGCACCCCCGCGCACAGCACCCCCAGAGTCAGCACCCCCAGGCTCAGCACCCGCAGCAGCACCAGAGTCACCAGTAACCTCGACCGGGTCAACGGCGTCTACCTGGGACACACCTGAGGGGGCAGGAACCTGAGGGGGGAGGGGGTCTACCGGGGGGGGAACCGGCACAAGGAAGTCCGGGGGAGGGGGGAGGGAAGGAGTGCGGTAGGGGAAGAGACGGTAGAAGGGGACTGACTCGTCGAACGTGACGTCCTGGGAGGACAGAACACGACGAGAGGAGGGGTGGTAAAACTGCCACCCTGGGGCGTCAGTGGGGAAGCCAAGGAAGACACAGGGAGCAGCACGAGGGGACAGCTTGTCCGCAGACAAGTCGCGGACAAACGTCCGAGATCCCCAGACACGGAACACAGACGCATCGCCAACCTTCCCCGTCCACAGCAAGGCTGGGGACATCGCAGGCCGAGAGACCCGGGGGTGAAGGTTGAGCTGATGCGCCGCGTACCTCACTGCAAACGGCCACAGAAAATGGGGGGCAGCCGCATGCATCATGGACGTACGAGCGACATCCATGACCATGCCAATGCGGCGCTCAGCAATCCCATTTTGCTGTGGTGAGTCCGGAAGCGTGAAGGTCTGGCGGATCCCCCGTGCACGACAGTAGTCTCGCAGAAGGCGAGAAGAGAACTCTCCGCCTCTGTCCGAGTGCAGACGCAGAACAGGAAAGTCTGAGCCGAAGCTCCTCCTGAGCTGGAGACGAGCCTCGCGGATCCAGTCGATCAGCACCTCAGTGACCTCACCCTTGCTGCGCAAGGGGAGGACTGTGGTGTAACGCGAGTAGTCGTCAACCACCAACAGGAAGTAGCGCTCGTAACCCTGCCCACGGACGGGGGCTGGGCCCCACACATCCATGTGAAGCGTCTGCAGGGGAGCCTCTGTCGGGGGGAAGTGGGAGGAGTGAGGAGTAGCCCGGAGGCGACCCTCGACACAGGGGACACAGGAAGGTCCTGGCCCGGAGGGGAGAGGAGGGAGAGACTGGGGAAGACCAGAGACAAGGACACGGGAAGCCATGCTCCGAAGACGGGGCAAGGAGGGGTGGCCAAGACGGTGGTGCCACAGGAGAGTCTCGTGAGACAGGAGGCGACAAGAACAGGGGGCAGACTCAGGACCTGACCGGGACGCAGCAGCAAGTACCTGACCCGACGCAGCCACCTGACCAGACGCAGGGACAGGAGGAGACTCAACGGTCAGGGTGTAGAGACTCGACCCCGGCCGACGCGAGAACGTGGCCAGGTGTCGGCCTGTGCGTGCCTCCGTGCAGTGGGTCACCCGCTGACTCGCAGGAGTGAACTGGTGAACACCCCCATCCTGCAGGTCCGCTCCACTCACCAAGTTCGTGGAGAACGAGGGAAGGTACAGACCCGACAGGGTGCCCGAAGGGGCAGCCGGACACGGGAGGACAGTGGAGAAGTGAGACAGGACAGGACCTCCAGAGGGGTCAGCAAGGGAGACTGCAACCGGCCGGCCGAGCGGCGTAAGGGTAGTGCGGTCTCGAAAGAAGGAGCGAGAAGCTCCGGAGTCAAGTGTGAAAGTGAGGGAGGACGAGGACGACGCAGTACCTGAGAGCGCAGTCTCACCAGTACCTGAGAGCGCAGACGCACTGGCACCTAGAGCAGCAGCCTCACAGCACCTAGCGCAGCAGTACCAATGCCCGGGTCGGGCTGGAAACAACGGTAACCCTCATTCTCCTCACTATAATCCACAACATACATAGCAGTAAGGATAGCATCAAAATCAAGATCAAAGATCGCTACACCAGCCCTGAGAAGCTCATCCCAGCGAGGGATCTCACTAGCCCCAGGGAACTGCTGACGCCAGGCGTCCGTCAGGCGGCCAAAGCAGCGCTGGGTGGCGTGGGTACCCCCACACTGCTCACCCGCGCGGTCGCCGGAACGAAGAACGTAGGTGCAGGGACCAGTACCCCCACCCCTCTGACGCCCAGCGTACCACTCACGAAGCTGCTGAGGCGAAGGGATGTCCCGAGAGCGCTGCTGCTGCTGCCGCTGCGAGCGCTGGCCACCACCACCGCCGCTACGCTGCTGGGTACCACCCCGACCAGCTCCACCCCCTCCACCACCACTGCCTCCTCCGCCGCCGCCTCCACCGCCTCCACCTCCGCCGCCTCCACCTCCGCCGCTGCCTCCACCACCACCGCTGGCACCACCACTACTGTCTCCGCCGCTGCTGCCACCACCACCACCACCCCCGCCACTAGTCCCGCCGCCACCCCCACTCCCTCCGCCGCCACCGCCGCCACCGCCACCGCCCCCTCCAGCTCCACCCGCGCCCTTGCCCCCCTTGCCCTTGCTGGAGCGACGTCTCCCACTAGGGGCAGACGCCGCGCCGACCAACTCAAGACCAAGCAGGTCGGCAGCAGCAGCAGAGGCAACAGAGGGCAGCAAGGGGGAAGGAGAGCACCCCTCAAAGATGGGGGTGCGAGGGTCACCACGAGAAGCACCTACAGCGACTATGCTCTTCTCCGCTGCGAGGAGGGCCTTCTCGAGGAGGTCGACGGTGAGCGTGGTGGGGCAGACTGCGAGAAAGTGGTCCCTGACGACTCGAAGGGAGTCAGGGAGGCGCGCGACTACGTAGTAGAGAGCGATGTACATGGGGGGGGGGGTTCTTAGCGCAGAACTCAGCAGGAAGGGCGGCGCGGGTAGCGAGTGTCACTAGTGCGGAGATGCGTAATGAGGTCAGCGACAGTGGGAAAGGCAGAGAGGTCAGGAAAGAGGTAGGGAAGCATGAGACGGCTCAGTGCAGCAGTGGCAGGGGAGGAGTAGCGCGTAACTACAGCGTCGTACAAGGTCTGAGCACTCTTGTACTGACTGAAGTGCGCACGCTCAGAGGTAGGGAGGTGGCGACGCACAGCAAGACGTGCAGCAGCATCGCGGGTGGCCCACTTAGAGCGGACAGCGGGATCAGCATCAGTAGCAGGAGCAGGAGAGGCGCCAGAGGTGAGGTCAAAGAGAGAAAGGTCGTCAGCTCTGTCGCACTGTAAGAACAGCTGCAGGTCGTCTAGCCAGACCTCAAAATCAATGGCGCGACCCTCAGCGTCAAAAGCTAGGACACTAGGGGTAGCCATGGCGACGACTGTGAAGCAGTGCAAGCAGTAGGGGGGAGAGCACGCCAGTGACAGTGGGACTGTGCTCACCAGGCAGGGCAGGTCGCGTAGCTCGACAGAAAGGCAGCTCGGCGACCGGGCGGCTCGGGTGCACAGCGGCTCGGCTCCCGGGCGGCTCGGCGGCAGGGCAGCTCGGGGGCAGGGCGGCTCGGCTCCCGGGCGGCTCGGCGACAGGGCGGCTCGGGTGCAGGGCGGCTCGGCTCCCGGGCGGCTCGGCTGCAGGGCGGCTCGGCTCCCGGGCAGCTCGGCGGCACAGCTGCTCAGAGGTCCGCCCGCACAGTCGCTACAGGTGGACGGTGGGGCCGATGCGTAGTGGGCGGCGAAGCCGCGGTTTGAGCAGGCGGCGGCCGCAGCCTAGTGGGCTGGGAGGCCGCGGTCGTAGCAAGCGGCGGGGCCGTGCGAGCAGACGACTGGGGCCGCGGTAGTAGGTGGGCGGCGGGGCCGCGGTCGAATAGGCGGCTGGGGCCGTGCAAGCAGGCGGCCGGGGCCGCGGTAGTAGAGGGCGGCGAGGCCGCGCTAGCAGGCGGCCGGGGCCGCGACAGTAGCGGGCAGCGGGGCCGCGGTCGAACAGGCGGCTGGGGGGGCCGCGGTCGAGCAGGCGGCCGGGGCCGCGGTTAGTAGCGGGCGGCGAGGCCGTGCGAGCAGGCAGCCGGGGCCGAGACAGGAGCGGGCGGCGGGGCCGCGGTCGAACAGGCGGCTGGGGCCGCGGTCGTAGCAGGCGGCCGGGGCCGCGATCGTAGTGGGCGGCGGCCGCGGCGTAGCGGGCGGCAGGGCCGCGTCGAGCAGGCGGCTGGGGGCCGCGTCGAGCAGGCGGCTGGGGGCCGCGTCGAGCAGGCGGCTGGGGCCGCGATCGTAGTGGGCGGCTGGAGCCGCGACTTAGCGGGCGGCTGGGCCGCGTGTGGGAGGGAGGCGACACGGAGGGTCGCTCGAGAGCGGAAAAAAAAAGTTGAGCGCGCCTCGGGGCGCGCTTCGGTGGGCCCTAGGCAGAGTTCCACAGGGAACCCGCTCTATACCATGTGAAATGAGTAAGGAGGAATGAAATGACTAAGGAAAGACTGGGTACAAATACAACCCTAGAAACCCTGTACCCCATATGTGCTACCCCACTATAGCCTACAGCAACTATGTCATATAAATCTGACAGGTTTAACACACCGTGGGTTGAACACGCGGTGGGTTGAACACACGGTGGGTTTAACACACGGTGGGTTGAACACACGGTGGGTTGAACACACGGTGGGTTGAACACACAGTGGGTTGAACATACGGTGGGTTTAATACACGGTGGGTTGAACACACGGTGGGTTGAACACACGGTGGGTTGAACACACAGTGGGTTTAACACATGGTAGGTTTTAACACACGGTGGGTTGAACACACGGTAGGTTTAACACACGGTGGGTTGAACACACGGTGGGTTGAACACACCGTGGGTTGAACATACGGTGGGTTGAACACACGGTGGGTGAACACACGGTGGGTTGAACACACGGTGGGTTGAACACACGGTGTGTTGAACACACGGTAGGTTTAACACACGGTGGGTTGAACACACGGTGGGTTGAACACACGGTGGGTTGAACACACGGTGTGTTTGACACACGGTGGGTCTGAACACACGGTGGGTTTAACATACGGTGGGTTGAACACACGGTGGGTGAACACACGGTGGGTTGAACACACGGTGGGTTGAACACATGGTAGGTTTAACACACTGTGGGTTGAACATACGGTGGGTTGAACACACGGTGGGTTGAACACACGGTAGGTTTAACACACGGTGGGTTGAACACACGGTGAGTTGAACAAACGGTGGGTTGAACACACAGTCGGTTAAACACACCGTGGGTTGAACACACGGTGGGTTGAACACACGGTGGGTTGAACACACGGTGGGTTGAACACATGGTAGGTTTAACACACGGTGGGTTGAACACACAGTGGGTTGAACACACGGTGGGTTTGAACACACAGTAGGTTTACCACATGATGGGTTGAACACACGGTGGGTTGAACACACGGTGGGTTTAGCATATGGTGGGTTTAACACACGGTGGGTTTAACACACGGCGGGTTTAACACACCGTGGGTTTAACACACGGTGGATTTAACACACGGTGGGTTGAACACACGGTGGGTTGAACACATGGTAGGCTTAACACACTGTGGGTTTGAACATACGGTGGGTTGAACACACGGTGGGTTGAACACACGGTAGGTTTAACACACAGTGGGTTGAACACACGGTGGGTTGAACAAACGGTGGGTTGAACACACGGTCGGTTTAACACACGGTGGGTTGAACACACGGTGGGTTGAACACACGGTGGGTTAAACACAAGGTGGGTTGAACACATGGTAGGTTTAACACACGGTGGGTTGAACACACAGTGGGTTGAACACACGGTGGGTTGAAAACACGGTAGGTTTACCACATGGTGGGTTGAACACACGGTGGGTTGAACACACGGTGGGTTTAACATACGGTGGGTTTAACACACGGTGGGTTTAACACATGGCGGGTTTAACACACCGTGGGTTTAACACACGGTGGGTTTAACACACGGTGGGTTGAACACACGGTGGGTTGAACACACGGTGGGTTGAACACACGGTGGGTTGAACACACGGTAGGTTTACCACACGGTGGGTTGAACACACGGTGGGTTGAACACACGGTGGGTTGAACACACGGTGGGTTTAACACACAGTGGGTTGAACACGCGGTGGGTTGAACACACGGTGGGTTTAACACACAGTAGGTTTACCACACGGTTGGTTGAACACACGGTAGGTTTAACACACGGTGGGTTGAACACACGGTGGGTTGAACACACGGTGGGTTGAACATACGGTGGGTTGAACACACGGTGGGTTGAACACACCGTGGGTTGAACACACGGTGGGTTGAACACACGGTGGGTTGAACACACGGTGGGTTGAACACATGGTGGGTTGAACACACGGTGGGTTGAACACACGGTGGGTTGAACACACGGTGGGTTGAACACACGTCAGGTTTAACACACGGTGGGTTTAACACACGGTGGGTTTAACACACGGTGGGTTGAACACACGGTGGGTTGAACACACGGTGGGTTTAACACACGGTGGGTTTAACACACGGTGGGTTGAACACACGGTGGTTTTAACACACGGTAGGTTTACCACACGGTGGGTTGAACACACGGTAGGTTTAAGACACGGTGGGTTGTACACACGGTGGGTTGAACACATGGTGGGTTGAACATACGGTGGGTTGAACACACGGTGGGTTGAACACACCGTGGGTTGAACACACGGTGGGTTGAACACACGGTGGGTTGAACACACGGTAGGTTTAACACACGGTGTGTTGAACACACGGTGGGTGAACACATGGTGTGTTGAACACACCGTGGGTTGAACACACGTCAGGTTTTACACACGGTGGGTTTAACACACGGTGGGTTGAACACACGGTGGGTTGAACACACGGTGGGTTGAACACACGGTATGTTTAACACACGGTGGGTTGAACACACGATGGGTTGAACACACGGTTGGTTGAACACACGGTGGTTGAATACACGGTGGTTGAACACACGGTGGGTTGAACACACGGTGGGTTGAACACACGGTGGTTGAACACACGGTGGGTTGAACACACAGTGGGTTGAACACACGGTGGGTTGAACACACGGTGGGTTTAACACACGGTGGGTTGAACACACGGTGGGTTGAACACACGGTGGGCTGAACACACGGTGGGTTGAACACATGGTGGGTTGAACATACGGTAGGTTTACCACACGGTGGGTTGAACACACGGTAGGTTTACCACACGGTGGGTTGAACACACGGTAGGTTTAAGACACGGTGGGTTGTACACACGGTGGGTTGAACACATGGTGGGTTGAACATACGGTGGGTTGAACACACGGTGGGTTGAACACACCGTGGGTTGAACACACGGTGGGTTGAACACACGGTGGGTTGAACACACGGTAGGTTTAACACACGGTGTGTTGAACACACGGTGGGTTGAACACATGGTGTGTTGAACACACCGTGGGCTGAACATACGTCAGGTTTTACACACGGTGGGTTTAACACACGGTGGGTTGAACACACGGTGGGTTGAACACACGGTGGGTTGAACACACGGTATGTTTAACACACGGTGGGTTGAACACACGATGGGTTGAACACACTGTTGGTTTAACACACGGTGGGTTGAACACACGGTGGGTTGAACACATGGTGGGTTGAACACACGGTGGGTTGAATACACGATGGGTTTAACACCGGTGGGTTGAACACACGGTGGGTTGAACACACGGTGGGTTGAACACACGGTGGGTTGAACACACAGTGGGTTGAACACACGGTGGGTTGAACACACGGTGGGTTTAACACACGGTGGGTTTAACACACGGTGGGTTGAACACACGGTGGGTTGAACACACGGTGGGTTTAACACACGGTGGGTTGAACACACGGTGGGTCTAACACACGGTGGGTTTAAAACACACGGTGGGTTTAACACACGGTGGGTTTAACACACAGCGGGTTTAACACACGGTGGGTTTAACACACGGTGGGTTGAACACACGGTGGGTTGAACACACGGTGGGTTGAACACACGGTGGGTTGAACACACGGTAGGTTTAACACACGGTGGGTTGAACAGAAGGTGGGTTGAACACACGGTGGGTTGAACAAACGGTGGGTTGAACACACGGTCGGTTTAACACACGGTGGGTTGAACACACGGTGGGTTGAACACACGGTGGGTTGAACACACGGTGGGTTGAACACATGGTAGGTTTAACACACGGTGGGTTGTACACACAGTAGGTTGAACACACGGTGGGTTGAACACACGGTAGGTTTACCACATGGTGGGTTGAACACACGGTGGGTTGAACACACGGTGGGTTTAACATACGGTGGGTTTAACACACGGTGGGTTTAACACA